TGCATGTATCCCTTAGACACGATGATTTCCATTCCTTTGGGTATATACCAACATGTGGGATTGCTGGATTGTATAACAGATCTATCTGCAGTTGCTTGAGAAACATCCACACTGTTTTCCACAGTGGCTGTACTAACTTACAGTCCCACCAAAAGTGTAGAAGTATTCCCCTTTCTTCACATCCTCAACAGCATTTGTTATTCTCAGTGTTTCTGAGTATAACTAGTCTCACCTGGATGAGAGGTTATCTCAATGTGGTTTAATTTGCATCTCCCTGATGATTAGTGATGTTGAGAATTCTTTCAAGCACCTGTTGGCTATTTGTATGCCTTCCTTCAAAAATGTCTATTTGGCTCCTTTGCTCATTTAAAAATTGCATTATTTGGGGTTTTTACTATGTAGTTTTTTGAATTCCTTGTATATTCTGGATATTATTCCCTTGTCAGATGTATAGTTTGCAAATATTTTCTCCCATTCCGTAGGTGGAATTTTCACTCTGTTGATTGTTTCCTTTGCTGTGCAGAAGCTTTTTGGTTTGATATAATCCTATTTATTTATTACTACATTTGTTGTTTGTGCTTTGGTGTCTTTTTTCCACAAAGATAATTTATTATACATATTTGAGTGGTACAAAGTTGACTTTCAATAGTTGTTTACAATGTGCAATGGTCAAATCAGGGTAGTTGGCTTATTCATCATTATAATACATAATCATTTTTTGTTTCCCTGGACCAGTTTCTCATTAACCCCCTTCGCTTTTCCATTCCCCTCCCATTCCCACCTCTAATAACAACAGTTAGGTTTTCTCTTTCCGAAAGTTCAATGTATTATTGTGATTATTGTTTCCTTCTCTCTCGATTGTTTATTTGTTTATTTATGGATTCAGCTCCTAATTATGAGTGAGGATACATGATATTTCTCTTTCTGAACCTGAGTTGTTTCACTTAGAACAATTCTTTCCTGGATGATCCATATTGCAGAATTGGCACAGACTCCAGCC